GCTTTGAAAACAGATTCGGTTCTTACCTATTAGGAATAAGGGAGAGGCAGGAGGTAACGTCTCAGATCCACCACATCTAAGATTATTGGTCCAGTTCATCTGAAATATGTAATAGTATTCCAAGTTTAGGCAACAGATAGATTTTTTCTTGAAATAATTATCTCAGCTGTTACTTCTGCCAAGTTTTAAAACCCAAAATGTTTTGTGTATAGATAATTAGACTCTTGGTAGTGCTGGTTTAATCAAATGCCTCTAAGTCATGTATTATCCCAGTTATCTATTTCACATAAATTTTGTAAACTGACAAAACATTGAAATTACTACCGATTGTAGCATTAGGGCATTAGGTACAAACTATCGTTTTAAATTATTGCTTATGAATTAAATTAGATTATTACATTTTGTTAATCATCTCCCAGAGAAAGGAATATGAAATAAATCTCCAAATAGGGTGGGTATTTCTTTATGCTATTACTATAGAATTCTGTTTAATTCCTTAACTTAGAATCTTAAACCCTAAAAGGATCTTTAAGCCCTCAGGTTTCTCCCCTGGCATTGAGGAACTTTTTTCTATAAAGATTTCATCTGACCTTTCTAATTCAGTTGTGATGTTGAATAAATACCATGGTTCCAGGCCCTTGTGGTGCGTGCTGTGTGATAAGCACTTGACTGCTAACCACAAAGTCAGCAGTTCAGTTCCACCAGCTGTTTCGTTGGGACCACCAGCTGCTTCGTGGGAGAAAGATGAGGCCTTTCTCCCGTAAGATTTACAGCCTCAGAAACCCTATATAGAATTGCTATGAGTCAGTCAGAATCAACTCAGTGGCAGTGGGTTTGGTGTTTTTTGTTTGTTTTGTGTGTGGTGGGGGTAGATGGGCAAGTCCCTTTAGTAGGAATTTAGTAATCATCATAGATAATACCTAGAAGCCCATGAGCAAGTTTCAAGACCTCTTTGTGGTATTCTTCCGACTGTTGTTGTTGTTAAGTGCCGTGGAGTTGGTTCCGACTCATAGTGATCCTGTACAGGAACAGAAAGCCTCATCTTTCTCCTGTGGAATGGCTGGTAGTTTCAAACTGCCGACCTTGAGGTTAGCAGCCGGATTTGTAACCACTACGCTACCAGAGCTCCTTATTTTTCCAACTAAGAAACTTAACATTAGTAACATCTACTATGTATTGGTCACTATGCAAGTGCTGGGGATTCAGAGGTGAAAGAGAAAGATGTGGTCCTGCCCTCATTTCATTTACAGTCTAGTTCTACTCTCTTTTTAGTAAAAGTTCTCTGATTATTTAACAAAAAACAAAAACAGATCCTTTGAAGCCTACAAAATGTGCTCTGAAGGCAATTTTCTCTGCATAAGATAACTCCATATCTTTAATCTCTCAGAAAAGAAACAGATTTCCAGTATTATTAGCTGGCTCAAGACAGTTGTCAGAATTTTGGTTTCTATTTAGAATTCTTTCAGTGTTGCTTTTTAAAAAATGTTTCATTGTGAATTATGTGATAGTTTACATGGGAGAACATTAGTTTTACATTCATCCTATCATATATAGTTTCATTGCCATGGTTACAACCCCCACCCCCCACCCCATCTTCAGCACAAAACTGCTCTCCCTCTCTGACCCTAGAGTCCCCAGCCGCTCCATCTCTCCACATCCTTCTCTGGCGTCACTGCTTCTCTGGGTAGGGTCCCAGGGACCTCTGCTCCTAGACTGCAAAGTACTCCCCTCCTTTTGCTACAAAATATCTACCTTTACATTTCCAACCCTGATTTGATAACATCAGTGCTGCTCTTCATGGAGTCTCCTCCCACTTTGTCATTTCCACAGTAGCTAAGCAAAGAGAAAAAGAGCCATAGTTGCACAGATCAAGAGACTCATTTCAGAAAGCAGTATGTGCCTCCTATGGCTTTTCATCTCCTAAGGAAAGCTAGAGAAGTACAAACAGCAGAACTGGCTAGAAACATTAAAGCTAGTTTTTAATAAGAGTTGGTAGAGAAGAAATGCAATGAATGCCCACCATCCTGATACCAAGTGTATAAGATACAGAGCTGTACTTCGACTTTATGTTCCATGAAGTAATACAACAATTCAAACCAAATTCACATATGAGAAGCTAAGAAATTAACATTTAAATAGACTAAGACCTAGCCCCCATGGTCTGAAACCAAGGAAGGAGCTATGGATAGAAGTAAATGCTCATGAGGTTCAGACAGCACTGACTCTGACTCTAGAAACACTCCTAACACATCAATTTAATTAGAAGAGTCAGTGCAGGTAAGCCAGAATTTTTTACAAAAAAGATTCTATTACGTATTTAAGCTTGGGCTTATCGTGATGAACTCTGAGCCAAATGTCAGTTTCCTGAATATGTTAAAGGCTCTGAAATTTTACTGCAAGGCTCAAATACAAATTGAACTGTGTAGGGACACTGAACTGTTCTGATATTTTGTCCAACCAGTGGCAGTTGATTGGCTAAGTCACAGCTGATAAGAGGGGGCAGGGGCATCCACTTCCACAAATACTACCTAGAATGCAAGTTAGCAGGTGGGCCTCAAGAGTTTCTTTGTAAGTGATATTCATTAGTTGTCTCTTTTTAAAAAGTGAGGTGTTTCTTTGAATATTTATAATATCAAAAGTATTTCAAATGTTTGGTTCTCCCTTGCTTAATCAAACAGAAGATCCCTAACCCAGTGGGAAAGGTCTCAGTAATCTCGCATTGACAGAGGCTTGAGTTGCAGGCATGTCTCATATTTGAATGAACATTGAACTGTTTATTAAGAAAATTTCCAAGCATACAAAAGAAGATATCCCCATGAACCTCATAATCTAGATTTAATAACCGTTCAATGCTTTTTCTGTTATAATAATATGTAACAAATCATTTGCCATATCAGCATTCTTCATGTGTACAAGTTCAGTGGTATTAGTTATATTTATCACATTGCTCAACCATTATCCATTTCCAGATTTTCCTGTCATTCTTTTTTTTTAAAATAAAACTGCAATCATGTTTATTGATGACAAAATATATTCAGGATTTAAATTTTTGGCTTAGTCATTCAGCTGGGTTGATATGTCAGCAACTTCAACCCATGATGGGTTAATACTTATAAAATGATTGCATAGTAGAGATAATTGGTTACATATATTTGCAGGAAAAACTTTATTTTTAGTTGAAAATGATTAACTCTTCAGCTTTCTAAACATAGGTTACATGGTTTTCCTGTCATTTTTAACAACATTCCGTGCCCCCTAAGAAATGAATCTCCTTTTTCTCCTCCCTCACACCTGCCTCTTGTTGTTGTTAAGTGCAGTGGAGTGGAGTCAGTTCCAACTCATAGCGAGCCTGTCTCTGATAACCACTAATAAATTAGTTCTCTTTACACTTGACTATCCTAGATATTTCATATAAGTAGAGTCATACAGTATTTGTCTTTTAACCATCAACATTTTGCCAAACTTCTTTTATCTATCTCTGTTTTCCCTCCCACTCCCACCCTCTTCTTTTTCTTGGAGCATCTTAAAGTAAAACTCATACAACATACTATTTTACTCCAACTATTTAAGAAAAGGCATAGTCACGAGGCCATTATCACAGTTTAAAAAATTATTATTTCTTAATATCTGGCAAACTGTCCATATTTCAATTTCTGCTGAATATTTTAAATATCATAAATGAAATCTTTTTTATAAACAGTAATATGAGTGGTATCGGTTATGTGCTGTGAAGTTAGTATAGGATGTCTGAGGCTATAAATCTTTCTCCTTCATCTTTCTCCCTCGGAACAGCTGGTAATTTTGAACTGCTGACCTTGAGGTTAGCAGCCCTATTGGTAACCACTACCTACCAGAGCTCCTTAGTAATATGAGAAGTCTCTGAAAAAGCAAGTTTAATTATCATTAAAACTAAAGAAAATCTTGTAGTATATAATCTGCAAGGATTTAATAGGACACAATCAACCCTCCTTTTAGATGATGTGAAAGATTGCTTCATATTCTAATTATTTGCAGGAATTACATCTGTAAACTCAATGCTCACACTCATATGCTTCCTATTCACCACTTAGGTCTTTATAGTGCATGTACTTGTAATTGTTTTGTTATAAATTACATTGATGCTGTTGTTAGGTACTATCAGTAGTTTTAGACTCATGGCAACACTCTATAGGGTTTCTGAGGCTATAAATCTTTGTGGAAACCAAAAGTCTCATCTCTGCCCCCAAGAGTGGCTGGTGGGCTTGAACCACCAACCTTGTCATTAATAGTCTAGTACTTGCCCTACAGAGCCACCATGCTTCCAAAATTACGTAAATATAAATAGTAAATACTTATTAGCATTTACTGTATGCTAAGTACTGTGTTTATTAACATGCATTATTTCTTACAACATTTCAATGCTTGGATATATTGTCTCCCTCCAATTAATTTAGTAGCTCACTGATGGTTATATAGCTAATATGTGAGATGGGGTTTTAATTTAGGCCTTCTAACTACTGGCTTTGAGTTGTGGTGTTGGAGGAGAATACTGAAAGTGCCATGGACTGCCAAAAGAACCAATAGATCTGTTTTGGAAGAAGTGCAACCAGAATGCTCCTTGGAGGCCAAGATGGCTAGGCTTTGCCTCTCATACTTTGGGCGCATTGTCCGGAGAGAACAGTTGCTGGAGAAGGATGTCATGCTGGGTAAGGTGGAGGGTCAGAGAAAAAGAGGAGGACCCCCAACGAGATGGATCAGCCAGGTGACATCATTGATGGCGTCAAGTGTTGCGGCGGTAGTGAGGTTGGCCCAGGATAGGACATTGTTTCGTTCTGCTGTGCACGGGGTCGCTATGAGTTAGTTCGGACTCGATGACACCTGACAACAACAACAACTACTGGCTTTGCTGCTTCCATAAGTATGCTTAATATGCTAATCTGAAACAAGTTAAATGATATAAAATTAGCCTTTCAAAATTCTTAATTTTTTTCTGCATTTCTCTGTTGTCTGTTAACCTTCAGGCTGTAAGACTGGAAAGTACTTACCAGAATCGAACACGCTATATGGTAGTAGTTTCAACTAATGGTAGACAAGACACTGAAGAAAGCATTGTCCTAGGAATGGATTTCTCTTCTAATGACAGGTACAGTATCACAAAATGGGAGCTGGGAAAATTCCTTTGTTTAAATAGCCTGTTTCATTTGCCTTTTGAGTTATCAGAAAACATCTTGTTCATCTCTGCTTTAAAGTCCAATGCATGAAACTGTTGTTAGTTGTTATCAAGTTGGTCTCTGTCTTAAACATACAGTCTTTAAGATGAGCATGTTTAGCATATGTCTTTTTAACTACCTTACCACTGTTACTAACTTTCCTGTCATCTTAGATAAGAATGTCATAAAGTAAATGTTTAAACTTCTATTTCCAGAAAAAAAGCTTCCCTTTCCTGGCTGCTCATTTTATTTTTAATCAGCAATGATTTACCGTAATGATTCTAGGCACACAAGTGAGTCTGGGTTCAAAGAGACCGTCCCACATAAACCCTAGTCTCTTTAACCGAACTGTTAAACCTTGGTTTTACCAACTCTTAAACCTCGTTTTCCTTCTCCTGAGTTAAAGGTAGGATAGTTTCTTAACCTCAGAGTAGAGTCATTTGTGATTATGGATCTTTGGCTTTAGCTGCACTTCACATCCTATGATTGAAGATATCGCATAGAACTTGGCCACTTTGTGTCCTTAAGTTTTATTGCTTTTCTTTATTTTCCCCCTTTTTCTGAAGAAACCTTGGGAAGCTTGTGGAATGTGGCTGTTAAGCAGATCTTTGCTCTCTAGATAATAAGCCTCAGGAAATCCTGTCAGATGTCTCAAAGCATTGACTTCCTGGTTCAGGACTAGAATGGAACTATGGAGCAGCTAGGGCTGTGACTCAGTCCTCTGGGGAATTCAGCCACAAAGAGAGGAGGAGACTGCAAGTGATTCTAATTGTCTTAGTGTTGGGGGCGTGGGGGGGAATTACATTGTAACTAGAAAATGTCCCAAACTAGTGTTTACCTGAGCTTGTACATTTCAATCAACCTGAAAATGACTTGTGGTTTCACACAGATCACAAGACCAGAGTTGTTACCGTGTCTATCACTTACAGTCTTTAATTGTAAACTGTGAGATTACACAGGCTGTAAACCACAGTTAGGAGTCTCCTGCATGGTTTTAACCTGTGGGGTTGCCTAAACAATATGATTCAGTAAACATTAATTCTATAAGAGTACCTACCTTGCCTACATTCATGTGAGGATATGAAGATCTCTGATGAAAGTTTTTAATCTGTCAAGATCTGTGCAACTACATTGAAATAAATTATGATTAAATAAAATTAAAAATTCTGTTCCTTAGACACAGTTAGCCACATTTCACTTATTCAGTAGTTATATGTGTTGTTGAGTCAGTTCCCACTCATAGCAACCCTGTATAGGGTTTCCCAGGAGCAGCTGGTAAACTTGAACCACTGACCTTGTGGGTCAAACCAACTTTGCAGTCCAGCACATTAACCTGCAGCACCACACCAGGACTCCTTTTATCTGTCTAGTGGCTGTCATATAAATGTTTGACATTACATATAAAGCATTTCCATCATTGCAGAAAGTTCAGTTGTACACCACCACTTTAGATCATATTTCTTTTGTTCAATTCTTCTTTACCCCCACTTATTGTTGTTAAATGTGTCTAGTTGGTTCCCACCCACAGTGACCCTGTATAGGAGTGACTTGTGAGCTTGTGGTTCCAATTCATCTTGCAGTCCAATACATTAACCCACAGTGCCACACCAGGACCCTTGGAACCCTATAGAATAGGAACTGGGGCTGCATAAGAATTTTAGTCTTCCTCTAAAGACAGAAGGCAACAACTACAGATTCTCCTGACCCAAGTACTTTAGTCACATGTTTAGTCTTACCTCTTTCACTTTGTCCTACACTTCCCTAGAAATCATAAAGAATGCTTATTAATATGGGTGCCCAGTAATTTATCCTCAGTGAGCCACTTCTTTCTTCTGGAATAACCCTGTCTGAATTGTAACTGCCAGGTGCCACTAACAAAAGAAAAGTTTAGTTTATGGGAGACAGAAAGTGACATGAAAAGCTAGAAACTAGCTTTTATTCTTTTTGTAAACTTTGATAGTATGACATTTACACACATCCTCTGCTTGAGTGAGCCCCTCACACAATAAGAAAAACACTGCCTCTTCAGGATACTGATGCTGAAGTAATCTAGAGGCATTTCTAGCTGGATGACTGTTGAATAAATCTGTAACATTTTGTATCTGAGAATAACAAAAAGTAAATGTTTCAAAACAATATTAAGCTAAAGTGAAACTCAAATTGTTTGACATGCTTTTTCCTAGTAGTTCTTCTGGGACATGTTACACACAATTCGTTTAGCCTATTTATAAGTTCTTGGAGAATTGTTATATGTTAATGTATTTTTTAATATGTAGTATAACATTGGTTTCCAAATTGCATTAACTTGTATATCAAGTTATTAAAATAAGTAACCATAGTTTAATAGAAAAAATTTCAGGACACTCAAGGTAAAAAATATTCCTAATTCAGACCTCTTCTTACATTGAAAAACTACTTAATGTAAAAATGTATGTATTCTGACCTTGATATAAAGTGACGTTGGTTCCTACATATCATTGCCAATTTGCCCAGAGTTTAACTGGTGTCTGGATATAAGCTCAAAAATCACACACTTTGCAGCTTCTGTGTTTTCTTTACAGGTACTGAATTCCTATATTTGGCATAGCCCTACATATTTATACCCCAGTTATACTTGTTGCTAGGAACACTGCTAAACACTACAAAAAAAAAAAAAAACTAAAAATAACCCCATTCCACCTTGGGAAGCCATTTTCAAAGCAAGTGTTTCATGCCCTCACCTCTAGTGAATGTTGCTGCCCTACTCACTCCAGACTCTGGCATGATAACTGTGTCTCTGGTGTTCAGGTTCAAGGTTCCAGTACAGATAAGTTGTTGCAATCTTGATTAGTATCTCTATGCCCTGGAATCACTAGTGGGTGTTGAGTAACACAGGCCAGCAAATGCAATGAAAAGTGTTAGGGACAGCCCAACTAGGGACTAGTCTTCCTTAGTTCTGCAATGACTCCAACAGTTAAAATTTGGAATTCTTCACATTGTTTTTAAAGCAATTGCATAATTGCCCCTCTCTTCCAAAATCACTTTCAGATGTACTAAAAAACACCCACTACAAATTTACATTCAGCACTTATTTTACATGATTATAAATTACATATGTTGTTAAAGTTTAAGTGTTTTAAACTTATCTAACCCTATGAGATAGGTAATATAGCAGCTTACAAGTTGGACTGCTAACCACAAGGTCAGCAGTTCGAATCCACCAGCTGCTTGTTGGGAGAGAGATGAGGCTTTTAGCCTCAGAAATCCTATACAGAGTTGCTATGAGTCAGACCCAACTGACTTCACAGCATAAAACCACCACCATGAAGGATAGGTTTTACTGTCTGTATTTTGTTGATGGTGCTTAAGTGCTGTCAAGTCAGTTCTGACTCATAGCAACCCTGTATAGGGTTTCCAAGGAGCAACTAGTGAGTTTGAACCACCAACCTTATAGTTACCAGTCCAGTACTGATCCTGCAACTCCATACCAGAACTTCATTTTAAGATGGAGAAAATAAAGCTAAGAGAGGCTAAATAACTTGCCAAAAGTAGTTGAAATGCTAGTACAAATCCTGATCTTTTGGCATATCAACTGCTTAAACAATGGTGGTTGTTGTTGTTAGGTACCATCGAGTCGGTACTGACTCATAGTGACCCTATGCACAACAGAATGAAAGTAGTGTAGAGGTCTCAGGTTGGTTACAGTTGTCCAGAAAATGTGTGTGCTAGAGCTCACAGTCAGAAGCCCTTGGCTTCCTGTTCCAATCTGTTCCATTAACTTGAAGCCAGTTTCCTTCCTGGGCTAGTACGCAACTTAAACAGCATTTTAATATCCATACTAGGGCTACTCTTTTGTTAGTTGTTTGCATTCCTACTAACTCTTGCATTTTAGCATCCCTAGTGTGGTGCTTTGGTGTAATGAGCTGGACTGCAAAGTTGGTTTGAACCGCAGGGTTGGCAGTTCAAGCTCACCAGTTGCTTCTCAGAAACCCTACACAAGGTCGATATGAGTCAGAAACCGACTCGACAACATTTAACTGCAACAACAACAGTGTGGATAAGCACTGGACTGGTCACAACAAGGTCAGCAGTTGAAACCCACCATAGAGTCACTATGAGTTGGAACCGACTTGACAGCGTACAACAGTAACAACAGTTCATTACACAGCCACCAAACATGCTTTCTATAAGTTGTGTCTGTTTTTATTTCTAGCTTGATCATGAACCATTTAACAATTAATTATTTTACATTTTTTAACTCCCTTTTTCTTTCAGACTATTTAGAGCATTCTGCTGTTACTGTTAAGTGCCACTGAGTTGGTTCCGACTCACAGAGACCTAGAACTCACATAGGATTTCTAAAGTTTTAAACCTTTGTAGGAGCAGAAAGCCTCATCTTTCTCCCTTAGAGTGACTGCTGGGATCAGACCACTGACTTTATGGTTCGGAGTCCCATACTTATCCTACGGAACAACGAAGCTAGGAGTCCTGGTGTGGCAGTGTAGGATAATGCACCATAAGGTTTGTTTGAACTGCAAGGTCAACTGTTCAGATTCACCAGCTGCTCCTCACTCCTCTCAGAAACCTTATTGTGATTTGGAACTGACTTCACAGCACTTAACAACAACAACAAAGTATTCAATAGATCTATATATGTCTCAGAACAAGAATTAAGCAAGTCACATATTCAGAGGTCTTTAGCAACCAGCACTTGTTAACAATCCTTGGAGTTCAGTTGGGTGCTCTGACCCAAGGCTGAGACCTGCCAAATTCTGTTCCTCCACAGTCACCTAGACATCTTTAACAGGTAGCCAATACAGGTAACTCAGTCAATAAGTTTTCTTTGTTAAATATACAAGAAACTGATTCACCACCTCTTTGAAACAACTGAGCACATACATAGAAATTTCTCTTAACACTCAGCTTAGGGAGTTTCTCTCGTGTTGAAAGGGTTAGTAAACAAAGGACTGTACCCCAGCATAACAGGAAGGAACTTATGGACTGTTTCTTGTCTTACAGTAGCACTTGTACCATGGGCTTAGTCCTGCCTCTCTGGAGTGACACCCTAATACATTTGGATGGTGATGGGTAAGAGCTTTCTCTTTTTATTCCCCTACATTGTGCCAAGGAGTGGGCTTCTATCTTAGTGTGCATGCATTGTACTGAATAGGAGTACCCAATGTGCCCAAATGAACTGTCTGTCATGTTAGCAACTCAGTGAGTCCTTTTAAACTCGTTTTTTAAAGTGGAGTAAAAATACAACTTGCCAGGGCCTCTCACTTCTGTTCTTCTAGGCTGACTAAAGAGTTCATTGGCTCACTCCTTAATTTGAGCATGTGGGACTGTTGCAATGCTGTCCCAGAGGATAATATGTTCTGTTTTAAACAACCTCTTGCTGCTTTGCCAGCTGTCAGTCTACAGTATAACTCTTTTCCTGCGCCAGTCCCTGCCACTGACCCCCTACCCCCACCTGCTGGTGTTTTTAGAATGAATCCCCAAGAGACTGAGATGTTTGCTCCAGTTTAGAAAGCTAGGGTCAGGTTTGCTAAGAACTCACAAGATTTACAAACAGAAATATGCAGCAGAACAGTTTGTTCATAGCTACTGCTGGGAAACTGTAATTCTATAACTCCAGTGTGACAGCTCATTCATTTCCCCTGGTAGATAAAACCAGACAATTTGTTGAAACTTTTCAGTCAAGTCCTATACTCTAGTTAACTTCTACATAAAGTGTCTGATGATCCCCTCTACTGAGCCAGCTGTTGCTAGCCTGGGAAACAACCTTGAAAAATCTCAATTGAAATAGCCCACTCTCATTTGTGGATTTTTTTTTCTTATTCTTTTCAGTGGGTTCAGCGTATCAACAGATAACAGAGTGCATATATTCAAACCTGTATCTGTGCAGGCAATGTGGTAAGATCACTTAATATTTCTATGAAAGTTTTTTAGTATGTTATTAGAGTACTATTTTGTGGACAGTAGTATTTGAAATGGTACAGTTGACGATGCAAATGCTGTGTGATCTGTGTTAGGATTTTGGGTGGTTTACTTGTGTGGTTGTTATTGTTAAATAACCTAAAGTGCAGTTTTCAGATTGTCACTTTGGTAGGCCTTGAGCATTGGTAAACAACTGAAATTTAGAGTTATATTTAGACTCTGGAAGCCTGATGGATCATATAAGCAGTTGAACTGTGTTTACTAGACACAGTGATCAAGTTTAATTAGTAGAGCGTCACCCTGCCTGTGTGTTAGCTTTCATTTGTCTTAAGGCAGTAAGGGCTGCATTGACAGAAAATTACATTTCGGTAGTTAAGTTTCTATTTAAACTGCTGATGTCTGTTTACATAATGCAGATAAAGCCTAGAAAAAAAAATTTGTTAATAATAATCAGCTATCATACTGACATTGTGGGTTACTTATCATCTATCTGACATTGTGCTTAATGTGGATTACATCTAAGCATCACACCATCCCCCAAAATAGCATTATAAGCCCCTTTTCACATATGAGGAAACTGAGACTTTAGAAAGTTATTTAACTGGCCAGAGAATATCGCTTATATTAGAAATTGTTGTTGTTAAGTGCCATCAAGTTGGTTCTGACCCATAGCAACCCTGTATAGGGTTTCTGAGGAGCAGCTGGTGAACTTGGACCTCCGACCTTGCTGCTTAAACCGAATTGCAGCCCAGTGCATTAACCCACAGTGCCATACCAGGACTCCATAGTTAGACGTAATAGACTCTTATTCTATTGTTTCAAATTATCTGGAAAAACAAAACAAAACAGTTTAGTGTAAGCAGGCAGTGTTGTGACTGTAAGATTCAGAGTCTATCCCCCAGTCAAGGATTTTAATTTCTGTTCGTCATTCAGCTGCATTTTGTATAGTGGAAGTCCCCATGAGGAGTGGAATGGAGAAAAAGCTAGCTAAATAAGAAATAAAGGAGGCTGAAAAGAACTCCAAGATGATAATCTATCCCTGAATAAAACAACTGATAGAATTGAGGTGGGTGGGGTCCTAAGACAGAGTCACTGAACAATTAACAGCCTTATCATTCCGTGCAGTAAATGAGGTAGGACATAGAGTTTCAGGTCATGTGTTTAAACCAGATTTTTAGATGTAGGGCATATTTCAGAGGTAAATTTCCCTTGGAAAACACATGCCCTCCTTTGGATAAGGCTCAGTTGAAAACAATTGACCAATCAGTTCCCAAGTACCATGTAAAAATCAAACAGCAATAAATACCACAAACAACAGTGTGGTACAGTTACATTTTTGGGAGGAGCACAAAGCAGTCTTAATTCTAAAAGACTCAAGTAGTCATCTTAGGTCATGTTCTAAAGTAGATTGACTGGTCCTAGCTCTGTTAGCTTATTGCAGAGTAAACTTTTATTGGCATACCAAATGGAAGTAGTGAATTAAATCACAGGGGGAAAAATAAAGGATGATATATGGATCAAAGTAACATTCAGGCCAGGTGTTTCCTTCACAGGAAGGTAGAGCAACTTCCCACTCATGTGTGTGCAGCTGAACTATCTGAGGTGGCTAGGCCTTGAATGTATTTTAAACAGTTGCACCAGACGCTTATGACATTTCATTTGCCTTTGAGACATGAATTTGTTCCCTGGGTGAAGAAATTATGTGTCGTGGATCCTGTACATCTCATTAAGCTGATCTTTACCTTTGAATCTAGATAATGAAACTGTTTTTGCTGAAATTCTCTGAGATTTGGCTTACTTTGAGTAGTAGAAAACTTTTTTGAAAGAATCTGCATCTTAGATTTTAAGGAAAAAATTGTTTTCCTAATAAAACTGAACTGACACATTTTTTTCCCTTTTAAATTAATAAAGATTTTAAATTATTTATTTATTTTCCTATGGATTGATAGGAATTCAAAGAACAGACACTGTCATATACTATTGGTGAGAAAATATACTGGAGCCAAGTATTCTGAAGCCTTGTTTGCCAGTCTACCTTATAATTTTGCTTACCTTTGACCTAGTAATTCTGATTCTAAGAATTCATCCTAAGGCAATAGTTATGGGTAGGCACAAAGATTTTTAGCTACAGGAACATTGTCAGTGTTCTGATAGTAGTTTTTGTTTTTTGTTTTAAAATAAAAGGAGGGGTACTTTAAATGTCAAAAAACTAAGACTTACTTAAATTATGATATATCCATGTTACTGAATATCATGCAACCATTAAAAAGTTATGTAGTTGAAGAATATTTATCAACATGAAAGTATGTTTATGACAGAGAATGTAAAGTAAAAGAAGAAGTCAAATGGTATACAGACTATGGTCTTTGTTTATTATAATAAACTTTGTTTATTATAGATCTGTACATAAAAAAGGAGCCCTGGTGGTGTCACAGGTTAAGCACTGGACTGCTAATCATGAGGTCGGCAGTTCAAACTCACCAGCTGCTCCATGGGAGAAAGATGAGGTTCTCTGCTCTTATAAAAAGTTACAGCCTCGGAAACCCTATATAGGGTTGCTATGAATCGGAGCAGATGGCATCTACCAACAACAACATGCATAGGAAAAAAACTGGGAAGATCTACATTAAAATCTTAAAATGGTTACTTCTGGGTGGTAGAATGCTAGGATATTTCTACTCCTTTTGTCTGAAATCCCTAAATTTTCTAAAGTGAGTACAGTTCACTTTTATAAGGGAAAAATAATAAAAAATCATTTTTAAGAAAAAGATTTAAATGGAGTGTCATAGAATTATCTTATATTGCCCTTTTTACCTTTGAGAAACTGAAGGACCTTGCGCCTGATCAACGCAATGGCATTGCAACTACCCCCACCCAAATCTCCAAACCCCCGCCCATTGTAAATTCTCCAGAACTGTACCCAGACCACAGGGCCTTTAAATACCCCAGTCTGGAAGAGAACAGATGGGCACTTGGTCTCCTCTGGAGACTTAAGAGTACCCCCTCCTAGGTTTACTCTCAATAAACCTGCCTGCTGTTGAAGCCAAGACCCTCTCCTTCGTCTTTCTTTCTTTTCCTTACAGAAACATTAGCTAATAAGACATTCTTCAACAAATTTTTACAAGCTGCAACTGTGAAGTGTAGGTATTGTTTTAGGTGCTTCTCATGCTTCAGTAAAAAAATCTGTGACGGTCCCTACTCTTAATGTATCTTATAACTAGCATTCTGGTTTAAGGTTTTCCCAAGTATGTAACTAATAATGTACTTTTTGTTTTGTTTATTGAGTTGTGTCAGAAGGTTTATTATTCTTAGAATAACCAGAGCTGTTTCTAGAAAGTAGCTCAAGAATATGGATAAGATTTTAAAACTCTTAAGATTGCAAGAATGATAAATGTACTGGACAGACATTAAAGGATATTTCCTCAAGGCTTGGGGACATCTATACGGTCTCTGCGGACCCTGTAAGAATCATGGGGAGTGTCTTCTATACATGATCCTGTACCAAGGGAACATCTTAGTATAGTAACTTGTTGAGCTCTTTAGTTCTCTAATAATACAACATAGCCACAGCATAATTCCAACAATGGGATCATGAGGTCCACAGGCACATGGACCTGTTTCTCATTGGTAAGTTGTCATTTCTCCTCCTCCCCACCAATGATGGATCTCATCTTTTAGCAAGAAATGTATCTAGTCTATTGCTATGGATAAATAATATGATACTCAGAATCAGAAAATTTTTTACTTCAGGGAATACATCCTCCAGCAACCAAATTCTGCAAATTTAAAAACTGGAAGAGTTTGGGTTATATATGAATCATTGACCTTTTGGTACCCCACAGTTCTGCAGTGCTCATTTCCCAGTATATCTTTCAGGTCTGCACTACAGAGTTTACACAAGGCTTGTGAAGTGGCCAGAATGCATAACTACTACCCGGGCAGCCTGTTTCTAACATGGGTGAGTTATTATGAGAGCCATATCAATTCAGATCAATCCTCAGTCAACGAGTGGAATGCTATGCAGGATGTGCAGTCCCACCGGCCAGACTCTCCAGCCCTCTTCACAGACATGTAAGTTGGTGTGCTGAGCATGTGGAAGTACCCTCTGTTGTGCCTTGTGAGGGGGGAGGGGTACATAGGCAGCATGTTTCTCCCTAATCTCTCCTCTTGGGGAGTTAATACTATTACCCAGTCATATTAGTCACTATGAACACAATGCATTTATCACACATAAAGAACCCTATTCAAAAAATCTAGTATTTTTCCATTGCCTGCAAAGATCGAGAGGTTACACTCTTTGGATGCAATAGAGTGTCTATAGTTAAGAACTGCAATACTGTAGAATTCTACTAATTCAGATTCTACTAATTTGAAATTTAAGTGCATAGAATCCATTCAGGCAGCGTCTCACTATAGCCTCATTGTTGTTGTTAAGTGCTGTCGAGTCGGTTCCGACTCACAGTGACCCTGAACAGGGTTTCCGAGGCTGTAAATCTTTACGGGAGTAGAAAGCCTCATCTTTCTCCCATGGAGCAGCTGATAGTTTCGAACTGCTAACCTTGCGGTTCACAGCCCGATTCGTAACCACTACACTACCAGAACTCCTATTACAGCCCCATAAGGTTATAATGTTGTTGTTGTTAGGGGCCATCGAGTCAGTACCAACTCATAGCAACCCTATGCACAACAGAACAAAACACTGCCTGGTCCTGGACCAACCTCACAATTGTTGCCATGCTTGAGACCAGTGATAAGGTTATAATTGTTGTTGTTAATTGTTGTTGCTGTCGAGTTGATTCCCACCCAAAATGACCTTGTATAGGGTTTCCGAAGAACAGCTGGTGAGCTTGAACCACAGACCTTGCAGTTCAAACCACTTTGCAGTCTGGCGCATTAACCCACAACGCCACACCAGGAGTCTAAGGTTATAATGTTGTTGTTGTTCAGTGCCATTGAGTCGGTTCTGTCCCATAACGACCTTGTATAGGGTTTCCGAGGAGCAGCTGGTGAGCTTGAACTGATAACCGTGTAGTACAAACGGCTTTGCAGTCTGGTGCATTAACCCACAGCACCACACCAGGACTAGAACCCAAATAATCTGATCGAAGAATGGGATGTAGTGGGTGTAACTGGACATAGTGAACACAGTAGCTTCTCCCATGCAACCTTTGTAATCTCATGTCTCTAGTATGCAAAGTCATTGTGCTGCTGGTGTATAATGGTACAGTACTTATATAACTAATAATGCTTGTATCTTGATAGTCATAATAAACACCTATATTACTTTTATGTATACTATATTATCTATGATTATTTTAATGTGAACTTTCCCTACTTAAAAATAAAAAGTTGACCATATTACAGTGTATGCTTCAATTCATAGGGAGAGAGTAGCATTATCTCTCAATTTAATTTTCTTCCAAAAATACTACCATGAAGTATATCATGACTCCTAAACACAGCAAAACCAGAGCCAGTGATAGCAGTAGCAAGAGGCAAGGGAGAAGTATCAATTTATAAGTGAATCAAAAGGTTATTAAACAACACAAAAGTGGAAAATGAGTGAATGTTATTTATGCTCACATCTAGATCACATAACGCCTTAATTCACAGAATGTATTATGGAGTTGGGCTGAAGTTTACTTTTTTATTATCTGTGAAAGAAACATTTAGTAGGCAAAATAATGACATGAAGCTTTTAGAAAGATGTTTGCAATACTTAACGAAAACAAGATGTTACCAGTCAATTAAAAAGAATACTTACATTTTTATGCTAATTTTTGACTAATTTCTGTTTCCTTTTTTGTTTTTAGTATTTTATAACTCAGATGTCAGCCTTTGCCTTGTTAACTCCTTACTAGTTGATTTTATTATTATATCTCTCTGGTATACCATTAGTTGCATAAAGGCCCAAGGTAGAGCTGATGTTTATTTCCTTTTTAGGTCTATGTCTTGAGGCTTATGTGACTATTTTAGAAATTTTTTCACACTCGTTCCTGCTTTGGAAATTAATCAGGATGTTTGTTTTTCTCTGAATTGATCTTTCTGCACTTGAAGATGGTTTACAGCTGGGAAAGAAGGGTTGTTGTTGTTGTTAGGTGCCATCAAGTTGGTACCGACTCATAGCGACCCTGTGCACAGCAGAACAAAACACTGCCCAATCCTGGACCAACCTCACTACTGATGCCACGCTTGATTGAGTCCATTGATGCTGCCACTTAGCCAATCCATCTCATTGGGGGTCTTCCTCTTTTTCTCTGACCCTCCACTTTACCAAACATGATATCCTTCTCCAGCAACTGGTCCCTCCTGACATTATGTCTGCAGTATGAGAGATGAAGTTTAGCCATCTTGGCCTCCAAGGAGCACTCTGGCTGCACTTCTTCCAAAACGGATTTATTGGTTCTTTTGGCAGCCCATGGCACTATCAAAGAGTAGCTACTTATAAATGGGATTTGACTTTAAATTCCTAAAGTCATGCCAAAACAGTTCATGGATTTTTGCTTTGCTTTGCTTTACTTTTTTAAAGTCTTACTTTAGATAATGGAAGTCCTGGTGTGGCGCTGTGGGCTAATGCGTCAGACTACAAAGGCTTTTGAACTGTAAGGTCGGTGGTTCAAGCTCACCAGATGCTCCTTGGAAACCCTATACAGAGTTGTTATGGGTCGGAATTGATTCAACGGCACTTAACAACAACTTCAGATAATAGTGCAATAAATGTTTTTACTAGAAAAAGAGAAAATTCTAAAAATTGTGTGAAAGGAAGTTAAAAAAGCAAAACAGTTGAAGCTTTTTTGGGTATTATTGGTACAAAGATCTCCTTTTCAATAGCAAAGATCCATAGTATTAAAAAGATAAAGCTTAGTCCACCTTTTAGAATCTTGGGAAATGTTATAGACTGTATGCTTTCCAGCTGGCTGCTGGGTTTGAGAGGAATGGAAGTCTCATCTAGCTCAAAAATGAACATTCGGAACCATACTTACATGAAAGATAGAAAACCCTCTTCCCATTTTTACCTATTTAATTGAGAAAACTTAGAAACTACAGGAAAAATCAAAAAGAGGAAATGAAATCACCCATAATCTCTCTCCATTAAGCAAAATAATGTAGATGTAGTCCCTGGCATATGGTACCAGTAACCAGTTGCCATCAAGTTGATGCAAATTCATGGCGACCCCATGTGTATCAGAGTAGAACTGGGCTCCATAGGGTTTTCAGTGGCTGGTTTTTCAGAAGTAGGTTACCAGGCCTTGTTTTTTGTTTTTTTGTTTTTAACTTTTCATTGTGAAGTGAGTGAAGGTTTACAGAGCAGATCATCACTTTTACATTCAACAGCTCATGCACTTCATTTCATCTCTGTTGCAATCTCCTGAATGTACATTACTTATCCCACTTCCTCTCTCTGTATCTTGTTTCTGTTCCCCCTTCTTTCCCCACCCTTCTGAATTTTGTTCTTAGATAAATGCTGCCCTTTTATCGTGAATGGTTAACCGTTCTTTAGTATCTTCTTACTTTTGAGACCTCTGGGTAGACTGTTAACTGGCAATCTTTCAATTAATAACAGTGGAGCTCATTAAACATTTGCATAAGCACCTGGTAGAGTCTCATTAAATGTTAGTTCTTGTATGTACAATGTAACTCCAGTTTTAAAAGATGTATTTAATAAACGAATGTCTGTATCTTCATCGAAAAAGAGACTGAAAGCTATGGCCAGAGTATTTGATTAATAATGGTTAATCACAGGGAGCTGTGGTGGATAGTGGGTTACACGTTGGGCTGCTAACTGAAAGGTCAACAGCTTGAATCCACTGGATGCTCTGTCAGAGAAATAAGAGGCTTTCTGCTTCCATAAAGGTTTACAGCTTTGCTAGACAGAATTACTGTAAGTCTGAAACAACTCAGCAGCCCGCAACCACCACCATCTCTGGATAAGGGGATTTTCAGTGATTTTTGTTTTCTTTGTGTTTTTATATACAATTTTTTTCTACATTAAGTCAAGAAAGAATGTGTGTGTATGTGTTTGTATTTTGTAATGTTTTTCCATTCCCTCCTCCTCCCTAAAATCCTAGAAAGCATAGGAGAATGTGTACCAAAATGGACCTAAGTGATCTACTGTTGTGTATACTTTGAAAGTGAAGAAAGGTAGACAAGGGGAAATGCATGTATAGTGCTCCTGGTATATGCCAAATGCTGTGCTAGGCTCTTCATGTGCAAGGCAGGTATTATTATTGTCCTCGGTTTACAGAAAAGGAAAGAGAGTCTCAGGGAAGAGAAGAGACTTGTTCAAGGTCACACTGACACTAAATAGCAGGTGGTGGTGGTGTAACATGAAGTCAGCTCTGACTCATAGCAACCCTGTACAGGGTTTCTGAGGCTGTAAATCTCTACAGGAGCAGAAAATCACATCTTTCTCTCGCAGAACAGCGGGTAGTTTTGAACAGCTGACCTTGAGGTTAGCAGCCTGACTCATAACTACTACACTATCAGAGCTCCTTATAAATAGAAGAGCAGGTATTAAAATCTTCTATTCTCAGATCTCTGCCTCAAATAAATGTGAGGGATTAGGAGAAAGGTTGCTAAACTAGGGAATCTCACCTATGCAGGCAGGTGTTAAAATTTGCTTTACTGATAATTCCTTTTTAAGGAAGATTCCAGTGTATCATTTTATGCCATTAGCTATACCTAGTTAAATTACTGGAGGCGTGGTTAAGAATTGTAATCTTAGTCAAGACAGGGAGGATGCCTTGGCTGTTTGACAGGGAAAGGGCACAGGTATTAGCTGTGTTTTGCAGGGTTCATGGGAAACTAAGAGCCCAAGTGGTGGGAGCCCCAAGGTTGTGGGGTGAGGACTTCCATCTTTGGAGATTACTGAAGCTATTTTTGCAGCCAATGATAAAGCTGTAGGCAGCAAGGGCAGACAGGATGCCTGAAGGCTTAGTCCACTTCAATCTCCAAATAAGGAGGCAAAGAGCAGATACCTTTCTTGACTAGGTAGGAGGGAAAGATGAGACAGAAAGTGCTCTCTGTAACCCTCACTTCAATTCTTCAAAATATGAAATAATGCTTTTAGAATGAAACATCCAGTTACATTGAGCTATTAGTCTTCTAATAATTGGAGAATCAGCTACTCACTGTGATTTCATATTAAAGTTGCAAGGGTAATTTTATTTTGAAAAGAGTCAGAAGACTAAGGGAAGCAATATAATCCTTAGGTAGAGTATTTAGCTGGGCTGAGAGTTCTGGTTCTTCTACCAGTGTGTGTGCTCTTCATCTTATCATTAAGCCTTTCAGCTGTTTGTTTCCTTAATATATAAAATGGGGTAACAATAGCACAAAGATATTCTAAGAGTTTTTCTATAAAGGAAAGTATTTTGGGTGGAAATTCTCAAGATACATGATCCCTGCAACTCATTTTGGGAGAGAATTTGCCTAATGAAGAAGACTGGGTCACTCTTCTCTTTCCCAGTTTGTAGAGCTACAGCAATGAATGATCTGCACTAAGGTGGTATTGTAAACTACAAATGACCCAGTTCATAGTGAATGACACCACTGGTCTACCCAGCTTAATATTTTTGCTCAGTATATGGTTCCATGGGGTACTTGATGGAAAAGTGTGGATATGGTCTTACACTAAACTATTATATTCGATGTACCAAATTTGTCTTTACTTCTTCATGGATCCATATAATTGAATGTATTTAAGAGCTTTTAGCCATGGACAGTGTTTTCAAGTAATAATTTCTACATGTTGACATTCTGAAAAGAAACCTTTATAAATATAATTGCCTTTTTGCTATTACTCCAGAGTATATAAGTTTGAGGAAAATAAAGGCAAGCCTTGCCAATTTCAAAACATAATCAATGGTACATTCGTTATTCATACTTAGTCACATTCCTGCCTAAGAGAAAAAAAATTCACCGTTTTTTCTCAGACCTACTGAACGTGAGCGAACAGAAAGACTAATTAAAACCAAACTAAGGGAGATTATGATGCAGAAGGATTTAGAAAACATCACTTCCAAAGAGGTAAGGTACCTTGAATCCTTATTGTTTTAGGGCTTGGGGGTGGAATAATAATTGTGGGACTAGAAATGACACATAGTTGAAAGTACAGAGGAGTTTTACAGAAGTTAGTGCAATATGTTATCTTTGTTTCAGATAAGAACGGAGTTGGAAATGCAAATGGTGTGCAACTTGCGTGAATTCAAGGAATTCATAGACAATGAAATGATAGTGATCCTTGGTCAGATGGATAGTCCTACTCAGATCTTTGAGCACGTGTTCTTGGTAAGTCTAGGGGCCTTTATGAGCTAAAACTATCCCATACAAATTTATTGGTATCAACTGTTCAAATATTATTAAATTTAAATACAAGATTATATTAAAAGTAATTTTTAAATGGTAATAAATGCTCAAAACTCATCACTTCCTAATTATTTTACTACACTTTACTATTGTCTGTGTTCATGTCTATTGTATAGTAGAAATATTGTATGATGGTATGATACAGATCATCTCCAACTGAGTGATAATCAGACTTACTGTTGTTGTTAAGTGCCTTCAAGTCGGTTCCGACTCATAGCGACCCTGCATAGCGTTTCCAAAGAGCAGCTGGTACATTTGAACTTCTGACCTTGGGATTCTCAGTCCAGTACTGATCCTACAGCACCACACCAGGAGTCCAAGATCCGATACTGGTAGATTGAAATTAACTATGGTGGAAGTATATACACCAAAGAAATTGGCTACTGCTACAGATCAGGCCCTTTTCTCCCAGGAGAATTGATTGTTAAGTAGTATCATACTTGCTCTTCAAAACAGTTTTGAAGGGCTGCCATAACAAAATACCAAAAAGGGGAGTAGCTTTAAAGAATATATTTATTTCCTCACAGTTCTGGAGACTATAAGTTAAAAATCATGGTGTCAGCAGAGCTATGCTTTCCATCTTAGCTCTAGGGGAAAATAATTTCCTGTCTTATACCTACTCAGGTATGATTTAACTGATAATAAATAGGGTCACTTCACAAGTATAGGGTTACGACTTCAAAATGTCTTTTTAGTGACATAGCTCAATCCATAACAATAGTCAAAAAAGTAAAAAACAGACCCAGTTGCTATAGTTTTGTATTATATCCAAATAGGTTGATCCTTTGAGATCACTTTTTCAAATCTGACAAACGTGTCATAAGGTTTGATTTTTCTAGGCAGAGCAGGTAGACACTATCATTGAGAAGCTATTGAACTTTTAAACATTTTAAACCTTTAGCTACATTTTAAATGCTCCAAATACTTTTGTGATTATCAAAAAGTCAATGGCTTGCCATTGTTCTTTATGGTTCCTGATCATCAAGTGACCTGTAATTAGTCCAAGGAGACCTCTGACAGATGGATTAGAAAAGCTTCTAAAATCCTAAGACCTACTTTCTCCCCAAATGTTAAAGAGTTCTAGTTTTACTGTGGGAACAAGGTTAACAAGGATAATTAAAAATCAGTGGGAAATGCCAAAACCTCATTTTTGTTTCTCTTCCCACACACTTTAACCAAAAATGCTAACAAGGAACTATATTGATTGGTTTGAATTTCATTTCTTTGGTGAGGACATTTGTGAAATTAATTAAAAACTGAGAAACAGAAAAGAAGACTAAATGCATAGAAACTGACTAATTTGGATCATCTCTGAATAATAAAGAGATTTTCACGCTAAGCATTCAGACTTTGTGCCCTGAGTTAACTTGTCAACATTCTAGAGCAAGAGTGGGGAACCTTTTTTTGACAAAATTTCTAACATCATTCATGGGCCATACAAAATTATCAGCTTATAAATTAGCTTGCTATGTTTGGTCAGACATTTAATTAACTTACCCCTAATGTGATGATGCCCTGGTGTGGCACTGCGGACTAATGCACTGGACTGCAAGGTCAGTTTGAACCACAAGGTCAGTGGCTCAAGCTTACCAGATGCTCCTTGGAAACGCTATACAGGGTCGCTATGAGTCAGAACCAACTCGATGGCACTTAACTCTTTAACAATGTGATGGCTGGAACTGCGGTTGCCTTGGCAGGGTCAGACCAAATGATTTTGTGGGCCTTATATGGCCCATGAGCCCCCACCCCTGCTCTAGAGTATAAGTGGTTTGTAGAGCGATCCATAGTGGTAGTGTCTGTCATGTATGGCTAAAGCATTACTCATAGGGGGTGGGGCAAGGCCAGGAGGAGAACTTCTTTTCCAATCCTTTTACTTACACAATCTGTAGTGCACACTCTGGATATAGACCATACTGCAAAATGGTCAGTGACCTTGCCATTTGTAAAGCATCTGGTTTTGCTGCCTTTTGTGAATAGTTCCAAAGGGTTCAAGTATTTTTTGCTCTTGTAGGAAAAAAACTTTGTGTTTTCCATAGAAGACTTAGAAGTCACTCATTTATGAGCCCTGATCCCAACAGTCTCCATGTAGTCTGACTAATTTTCGTAAGGGACAAATGGCTGGAGCCAAAAAGACTCATGTTAGAATGGGATCAGTGCTAACTTAGAAGTCACTTTCCCATTGTACTTTAAATGCTATATGGATAGCAAGTACAGGCCACTTTCTCTCTAGTCAGCCTGCTTAATTCAGGCATATTTCCCCCTCTAGAACTACTTCCTCCATAGTTCCTCCTTAAATGATATATTTTAGGTAATGTTGCTTTCAGTTGCCATTTAGTCAGTTTGAACTCCTGGCAGTCCCATGTGACAGAGTAGAACTGCCCCGTTGGGTTTTCTTACCTGGAATCTTTATGGAAGCAGGTCACAGGGCCTTTCACCTGCAGAGCCACTGTGTGGATCCAAACACCAACCTTTCAATAGCCAAGCACTGAAGTGTTTGAACCACTAAGCCTCCTAATTTCAGGGTGGTGGTAGTGTTACATGGAGTCAGTTCCGACTCATAGTGAAACCTGCATAGGGGTTCTGAGGCTATAAATGTTTATGGGAACAGAAAGCCTCATGTTTCTCTTTTGGAACTGCTGACCTTGAGGTTAGCAGCCCAACTCGTAACCACTATGCTACCAGAGCTCCTGAATTTTAGGGTATGCAAACAAATTTTTTTAGTACTCTAAGCAAAAAAAGTGAATGCAACAATGGACTCAAACATACCAATGATTTTCAGGATGGTGCAGGACTGGGCAGTGCTTCATTCTGTTGTACAAAGGATCTAAATGAGTCGGAATTGACTTGAGGCACCTAACAGCAATAACAAAGGGAAAAAAATACACTGTGGCACTGTAGGGGAAGCATTGGATTGCTAACTGCCAGGTCGGTGGCTCAAACCCACCAGATGCTTCTCAGAAACCCTATACAGAGTCACTATGAATCAGAACCAAGTCAACAACAAAGAAAAATAGAACACAATCCAATTCCCTTCTCAAAATTACATTTCTTAATTAATTATAGATGCCTGTAAGTATTTATACAAATTACACTCTGCCTATGATTTCATGATTGTTAGACATATTCTTCTGTCTCAAGTTTCTTCCTACTATAAAAATAATTTGCATTCATTGTACAAAATTTAGAAAATATTAGAAGATAAATAACATTTAATCATCATTAAGAGAGAAAATCACTGTTGACTTTTGCTACATAATATTATCTTCCTATATTGTAGTCCTGGTGTGGCACATGGTCAGTGGTTCCAAACTCACCAGCCACTCCTTGGAAGTCCTATGCAGAGTCACTATGAGTTGGAACCAATGCAGCAGCACTTAATAACAACATAATATAATTACATTTTTTTCTTTTTTAACATCTAACAAAATAAGTCTTGTGAACAAGTTATCTAAATATCTCATTGTGCTTGTTCCTTGGTAACTTCCTCCTTTTATTTGCACAGCAGTAGTCTATGTCTAGAACTCTTGTCTCTTGTCCAGTGAATCTCTGCCCTGCTGTCTTTCCCAGCATTTGATTGGGGAAAAGGTCTTATTCTAGCTGCAAATGTTGGTGTTAATTTTTTGCAAAGTCATCTTGCCTTGTGCATAGCTGCCATGCCTGGAGCTCAACCACACTGTGTAAAAAGAGGCAAGAGACTTTCTCCCCTTGGAAGACTGCTGTGCTCTTCAGTTGCCTTCACAGAGACCTGTTTATTTGGAAAGGTCTCCAGCTGGTGTGGAGAGGAAAAATTTAGAGCATAGTTTAAAGGAAATCTGTAGTGAGAAAAGAGGTTTGGTTGTAAGCCAGTGTAATTTCCACAAAAAAAAGTTTTTCCACACTCTAAAGCATGTACTACTATACTGAACCAGAACAGAAGCCTTTGTCCAACCAAATCTCAATATCAACAGCTCTCCTGAAGGCAGTCTGATTTGGCTCAGAAAACCAGTTGTGAACAGAAATCCTGATCAGAAAGGCAGACAACTTTCTTAATTAAATAAGGGAAACATGGGATTATTGAACATACCAACCAGTCATTTTTCTCATGAATTATTTTTTTAAGGCAGAATTGTGGCTCTGTAGAATAAGCACTCCACTGCAAGGTTGGCGGTTCAAACTCAGCAACCACTCCTGTATATAGGTTACTATGAATCAAAAGTAACTGGAAGGCACTTAACAGCAACAACTTTACTGAACCAGAACAGAAGCCTTTGTCCAACCAAATGTCACTATCAGCAGCTGTCCTGGAGGTGGTATGATTTGGCTGAAGAAACTATATGTGAACAGAAATCCTGTTCAGAAAGGCAGGCAACTTTCTTAATTAAACAAGGGAAACACAGGAATATTGGGCATACAACCAGTCATTTTGTTCATGATATTTTTTTTAAAGGCAGAACTTTCCCTGATTGTCATCTTTTTCAAGATTTGGCCATTAAAATAATCTTTTTAGAATAGTTTTAGCTTCTCAAAGAAAATTGTAGACACAAATTGGTGTAAAGAAAGTGAAAAGATGAGACAGTAATCAAATGGGTTATTTTTAAACACATTCCTTGGTTTTGTCCCTGAACTAGAAGATGTGTGGCATAAATTTTTCTTTGAAGAAAAGTTAACAGAGGGCTTTTGCCTGGTAACCACAGTAATGTGACTTAATAGTGTTGAGACTTTAACTATGGTATGATGAAGTTATGGACACAGATGCCCATATAACTCTTTCTTATTTGCCATAACTGTGTTCTTTTCTTCTGTTTTGCTTGAAACATTTGGACCCAAAAAAAGGCTATTTCCTGAAGGTAACATTTAAGATAAAATCAGTTACTTGGTCTTTGGACCAGGCTGGAGAAGTGTGGGGACCAGAGTGAAAGATGGAAATTAGCTTACTGAAAAAT